TCTGAATAGGTAACGCTAATAAATCACTACTAAAATATTTTCGCATTCGTCACACACACCACACGTCTACCCGAAAACAAAATGTTGAAAAAGAAACCAGCATCTGCGCTTGGGTGCGAACATTGATGTTCGAGCGCTGAAGAAAACGAAGTGCGCGCATGAACTTTAAACATACGCTCGGGCTCATGTTCATTTGGCTGAGTGCATGCGTGAGCACAGAATGAATGTTCTTGTGAGTTCGAAAACTTATTTGCTCACAAGCGCGATGCTGCACCTTGAAGACTGCCTCCAAATATCTCATTTGGCAGGCCATCTGCTCTTGCGGACTGAGGAGTGAGCCTTTCGTGACAAAGGGCACAGTAAATGGCGAGATCTACGCCTTTTGCCGTTCTTGCAGCAGCACGACGAAGCTCCGCTATTTTGGCCAGATTTGGCATCATGCCACTATTCTAAAAGTGTCCTGGAGTGGTATGAGGCCAATTCTGTCCATTTCGTTCCAAAGGACATGAATCCGCCAAACTGTCCGGAGCTGCGCCCGGTGGAGCAGTACTGGGCAATAATGAAGTGGGAACTTCGGAAGAGCAAGAAGACAGTCAAAGACGAGAAGGACATGTTAAGAAAATGGAAAAAAACTGAGAAACTGGTACCGGATGACACCTGTAAAGACTTTGATGGAGGGCATCAAGCGCATTTTCGCGTTCAATTTTACACTCAAGGCTCCATCGATTAACTTTTCTTTTGATTTTTGAAGTAAATATATGTATAAAACTACCCTAAAATTTTGGTTTGATTCTAAACATTATAAGAAAATTGGCATGACATTTTCGGTGTCGCAATAATTTCGTGTTCGCCCTTTAGAACGAGACACACACTTGCATCGAATCTCTCCAGCAGAAAAAGCATACGAATTCGAGTATGCGAGAAAATGAGCGCTTCATGTTTGCTTTTAGGCTATCTATATTCAGTAGAGAAAGCACAGGTCTGACTATTGCAACGTTCGTGGTTCGAGTCCAGTCGGAAATCTGATTCCTATTTTTTTCGACATAACTAATTTACCTCACTAATCACTCCACATTTTTCGGTTTCCAATTTTCTTGCATTAGACCGCAGCTAGGTATATCGCATCCTCGGTTCATGTGGTCTCCACTCCACATAATTGTAAGCGAATCTTACATCCCCCGGTTGGGTGTACTACTTGCAGACTTCATCAGTGCCAAGTACTCAACACACACCAGTGGTTGATGAAGTCAATTATAACGGAATTTAAAGGAAATAAACCAACACACTCAAAGCTCTTCATAAAAGGGATTCCGCTAAGAGGTTCGACAAATTTTAAAGAAAACTGGTGCAAGTTTGATCAAAGTAGTCGATCGCGTTCAGAAATAACGTCAAATGAAACTCGAAAGAAGAAAAAATATTGTGCACAAATACTTGGAAAATCGAGAGTCATCCGGTTCCAAGCTGGCTAAAGTGCTGAAGATGCCGAAAACAACAGTTTGTCGAGTGCTCAAAACCTACAAGGAAACCCTGAGTGTGGAAAGGAATCAGCGGACCTACGAAAAAACTGGAGCCAGGGATCGTCAGCTGCGCAGCAAAGTATTGAGGTACGTTAAAGCCAACCCCGGTCTTTCGATCCGAGATGTGGCCAGAAGGTACAACGTCAACTTTCATACGGTGCATAACATCCTTGTCAGGAAAGGGTAAAATCGTACAAAGCCAGCACATGAAGCAGAATTCCGTGGCCAAAAAGCGTGCAAGGCTGTTGTACGACCGTGTTTTGACGAAACTTTGATCGATGACGAAACATACGTCAAACTCGATTTTAAGCAGCTTCCCGGCCAAAAGTGGGAGTGGGATGTACCGGGAAGATCCAAGTTCGTGTTTGCCGACAAGTTCGTGAAGAAGGCCATGATTTGGCAAGCGTCACATCATCGACGATGACATCCCAAGTTTATATCGAAGAATGCCTGAAAAAAAGTTAAGGGTTGTGTCCAAAGCACGACCGTTGACGTAGAACTACGAGATTGTTTTTAATGATCCATTCACTTATATATTAATCACAAAATAAATGGTCTAGAAACATAACTCCAAAATGAACAATTCATTTTGAAATTGAGCGGGTATATAATAAATTCTTAAATTGGAACTACCTTTGACCGCTTTCTTGTTGACTCGACACAATCGAATGCGTTCAGCAACGGTCCGCATCTGTTTCGCAGGCTTTCCATGCTTCCTGGTCTATCACGCGCTTCCGATCATCGCGGAGATATTTTGCAGCCATGTGTTGAGGCATTTTGAAGATTTTTACAGAATTTCTCAGTAAACACTTGATTCAATTCAAATATTGACTCTATCCAACGCTTGATTCAATTCGAATATTGACTCTATCCAACGCGAAGTGTAAACACTGAAGCACTTACTGTACCAATTGGAATATACAGAGAATGATACAATGCATAAACACGATGGTGTTTCAATATGATGTCTGTGTTTGGGAAACAATCACAAAATCAAATTTGGATTGCCTTTATTTTTGCACACGCCGGTAAGCTACACAGACTCCTCCCATCATGAGTAGTTTGCTGTCAAGTAGCGACAATCTCCCTTTGCGTAGTTTGAAAATGTCAATCCTTAAAAGGAAAGGGCAATTAACGAGTTATTAACGAAAGATTAAGAGAATCGATCAAAATCACTTGCACCCCTGCTTCCAAGTTTGATTACAAGATTACAACTCTGGAGAGCATTTTGTCTGGTCATTGGGGGCGTGTGGTTCTGAATAAGGACAAACAAGCACAGATAAATTCTATTGCAATTCTTTACTGTAATAAGCTTGTTGGACCTGAAAAGGACCGTTTTGTTGCCAAAGTTGGTTATGATTTAACCTCCGAAACCGTACAGGGTGCGTCTGTCGCTTCAAAGTGTAGACGACATCGATGACCGCTTACGCTTGGCGTGTTCAGAGTAGGTGACAGCATCACGGATCACATTTTGCAGGAACACCTTCAGCACGCCTCGTGTTTTCTCGTAGATCATACCGTTTGACATTGACACGGTGAACCAGACGACGGATGGCGGTTCTCACGAAGAACCTTGCGATGATGCTCGGCACCTTCTTTACCAAGACCTTTTCCTCCTTGCCACGACCAGTCATTGTTGCTTGTTAGGTAGAATAGTGGACTACCTAACATGCCACCACTTTCCTACTGCTGCTATTGTTGCTTCTGCTGCCTGCTCACCACGCCATTCGAAGCGAAAATGAGTTGAGACTAGACAGCAGCGCTCTTTTATATCTTTTCAGGGTAAAGCAGAATGATGTGCAACCAAGTGGTACTCGATTATGACGACTGGGTTTGGGAAGAACGTTTATTTCATGAAAATAGTTTCTTGTTGAAAATCATTAGTCGGAAGCATTGCTTTTAATGCGTCGACATATTTCTGATTGAGTGGTGATAAAATTATTGAAATTGGTCCAGGGGCAGCTGAGTTATTAATGTTCAAAATCTTTCATAATTTTGTTACATGTTCCATTTTCGGTTGTCACAAAGTGTACCCTCATATAGAAATCACAGACGTAATCTTACGTCAAAAGCGCGTATTGCCGTTCATTCTCAAGCATAAGGGCAAAGTCATCGTTTGACCCGATTTGGCCAGCTGCCATTACTCCAAGGTGGTTATGGAGTGGTATGCTGCCAACAAGATCGATTTTGTCCCCAAGCTAATGAATCCTCCAAATTGCCCGGAATTTCGACTAATAGAAAAATACTGGGCAATTTCAAAGCAAAGCGGTGGGACAGTCAAGGGCATCCAGCAAATGCGGGCAAAATGGAAGAAATGCGCTGATTTCGTGTCCGTTTCCACTGTGCGGGCGCTGATAGGGCTCCATCAAGAGGATGTTTCGAGATTTCGTTCGAACTGAAGAAATGTAACCATCTAATGCTGTAACTTTGAAGTTCTAGTAAAAGTACTGTAAAGCAACCATTAATGGACTTTTAAACTTATTGAATCACGAATTACAGGTCTCTTAGGGCGTACCAATTTACTTTTAGTCAGCCTTTATTTGGACGTTAAATCATATTTTTCAATGATAATACATCAACGTTTCCGCAATTTTTCATCCCATTAAAAAAATACAAGAATACATGGATTTCCAAATTAGTACGGAACTGCTCTAATGCAGAATGGTACGGTATGACCGGTAAAACCGGTTTCGGTGAAACCGGTTAGCCATCCATTGTTATACAACTTATCAAAACCGATACGCCAATTTTGATTGCAGAGTCAGATTCAGCAATCTCAAATTTATTAAAGACGCATGGCCCATGGACAAACCCTTGTTCAGCTGTGCTGTTACTTGTCGTCTCTAACTCGAAACGGTTTCGGTCGCCTTTAAAAGCACTCCATCACCACATACTGACGGTTAGCAATTTCCACAAAACCGTCAAAAGCCATCATCCCTAATAATGCCGTGAACTATTCAAAAGCCCAACTTAAGTGCACACTCGGAGCAAGGTGCTCAACCTTTGAACAACCCCCCATAGTCGCGAGGTCCGTACGATTCCCGTGCGTCAAGTACCAACCACCATTTGTCAAGAGAAACGTGTAGCAAAAGCAAAACAAAAAAAAAATAATCCACACCATTCAAACACCTTGGCGCTTGCGTGGTGGAAACAACTTCGTTTGCATATAAATTATAGACGCTGATTCGGTTTGCACCTTTCCGCGGGCGCGTGAACCTTGCTTACCTGCATACAAAGTGGTGTATGGGGGAGAGAACCAGCGGCACGAGAGGAGGCCCGCTCGGTAATTAATAATTGCGCGCGATCCGTTCGCATCGATTAAGTGGAATTTAAATGGAAATCCGATAGGTTGCATTCAGTTTTTTGCAAGCGCACTTGGATTCTCGAGTGTCATTATCCAAAGAGGGGGGACGAGAGGGAAGCCACGTACTTTTTTTTTTCTTTCGGTAAACGTGACTAACTGGGATCGGCAAAGTGACTTACCAAATAACCGGAATTTCTGGTCTGTTGATTTAGAAGATCTGCAAAAAATTGAAAAGATTTTAAATCAATAATGATGACTGTTGGTAATTAAACGATTTTCGAATAAAAGCGTGGTATGTTTGCGGGACTGGCGAGTTAGACATATGGCGTAAAACAAGCACTGATGGTGAAATTCCATGTGTTGTTTTGCGACCATTGTCGTCGAGTCATTATCACCTGCTGCGAGAGGTGGGAAGCCCATCGAGACTGTTGGCAAATGAGCTGTGAGTCGAAGTAATTTCTCTTCACGGATTTATCCCCGTTAGCGAAACCCATCGTGTTTAGTGTTTATGCAAATCGAAACCAACGGGCTTGGATTTACACAGGAGAATCACGCTAATTTTTCGAATGGAAACATTGTATGGATGCCTCCCGGCTAGGCATCATCATTTGCACAGAATGATGACATCTTTCTGCAAACTTTCCATCGTCGCATGATCATCGAGCGCCCGCAATCTGGATCTCGTTCGAAGCCAAATGCCGTGCTCATGCTCATGCCATACCGTGTTCCCTTCCGAAGGTCCATGATTTGCAAACCCAACTACCCAGCAGCAGCAGTTAACGGAAAGCGAGCGAGCGTGTTTTCCATGCAGATGGGGCATTAGTGCTACCCGTGTACAACATTTCCCCGCGTAAATGTAGAGTAGAGTATGATGAAAAAAAAAATGAAACACTCATCAGACAAAAAAAAATTGAACTCGAACACACTGCTGCATCAGCAACGAACTGCTTGTTAATGTTATTAAAGCAGCATTAATGGGAAATCTCATTGTAATCACATTACAGCCGGTAGTTTTACAATGTAAAATTAGCCCTTGCATCGACGAAGCCGAGTCGAGCAAGAACGCGATGATCGAGCAACATAAAAAAAGTGCGAGCAGAGGGCATTACTTGCATACATTAAAATGAGTTACAACGTAGCTGTTTTCGTCTGCCAGTGCTCGCTCAGTGTTGTACTTGTTACTGCTCTTGTTGATGTTCTCGTTGCTGTTTTATGCGCAATTGACTTTGGCTCAATTTAGCCATGCCGGGGCTGGTGGATGGATGCGGGAAAAAGGCAGTTTATGATTCTGGGGTCGGGTCTGCATCGCATCATACTTAAAACAGAATACTACGATGACGACGCATCATTCCGTTCACTCAATGAGTTAATGGCTGCTCGTGTTGTCTAATTATTGGCTTAATTTTAAGTGTTTTTTTTTTGCAAGCAATCTACCGGGAAGAGCAAAGCGGGCAACGATCGAAGTTATCTTGCAGCAGCGCTGACAGTGGAAATGATGAACAATTGCTCCGGGGCATACGCTTCCGCTTTTGGAATTCAGGTAATAATACTAATTTCTACATTCAGGTTTGAAGATTGGAATGTAAAACAGAATGTATATACCAGGAGTTAGTATTTATATCGTAGCTGTTTCTGTAATATATTATCATATAGGGTGGACAACGGCTTCGGCCCCGACCTAATTCGTGGCTTTATTCCTATTTTCTAAACACAATTAATCAGGAGTCTATCCAAAAGATACTCTATTATGTGAACAGTACTGTGTTCCTAAAATTTAAGGTAAGTTGTTGCACCCAGTATTGATCTGCGCCTTTAAAATATAAATCTGCCTAAAATAACGATGCGCCCGCCCCTGACGGTGATAACGTTGTTTCAAATAGTGTATTATCTAGTTGATAAGGTACGTTACAAAACATTTATCGTTGCTGCACACTAAGCAGCACTGTATTCTACAGGTGGCGATGGTGGCGATGGTGGCGATGGTGGTATTTGACAGACAACTACTACCCGAAACTACCAGTAGCGTACAAATCAAACCCTTAAGTTTTTAAAAAGTATGTTGAACTTCAACAATTCTGAGCTGAGTTTCTATCGTTCGGAAGTGAGTCTATCCTTGAGAAATCCAACATTTTCCCTAATGAACTCAAGGTTTTCTTAAGCGGCTAAGTATTTTATGAGCTGAGTATACGGATCCAAGTGCTTCAAAACTTTTCAAAAGTTCAGTACTGTTCGAAGTGATTCTGTACGTGCTAAGTTTTTTTTAAATAGTTCAGTACCCTCCAAAGTGATACTAAGCTTTTCTCAAGTTATTTAGTACTTTCTGGAGTGATTCCCAACATTTCCTAAGTGATTCTAACCTTTCTAATGTAATTCAGTACAGATAGATCTCGTTTTTGGAAACTTAGGCACAGTGCACTATATACAACTCGATATTAAGGCTTGTACTCGAAAAAATGCACCATTTTTATCCGTGGGTAAAAATTGATGAAAATCTGGGTATAACTAGTTTGGAGTGAATTGTTTACATGTGCAAAATTTTATAACAATCGGTTCAGTGGTTATTGAGATGTTATCGAAACAAGAAAAAAATCTCCGGAGAATTTTGCGTGCCGTCGTGGAAAATCCGACTGCGACGACCATGATATGGATCGGAAGACAACTGGGAATCACCCATACAACTGTGTCTCGGGTGGTAAAATCGTTTAAGGAGTCCCAGACGACCGAGCGGCGGGCTGGAAGTGGAAGAAAATCGAAGACAGCTGACCCTGTGAAGGTCCGGAAGGTGTTGGATTATTTCAAGCGTAATCCGAACCTTTCGATTCGCGACGCGGCTCCGAAGGCAGTGTTCCGCCTGGTTCGTTCAGCAACCATGAAACGAGCTGGGCTTCGTGTATTCAAGTTCCGGAAGGCACCGAACCGGCGTGATCAACAAAACACGGTGGCCAAATCCCGCGCAAGGAAGCTGTATCGAGAGTGGTTAACGAAACCGATGTGTGTGGTTATGGATGACGAAACCTACATCAAGGCAGACGCAAAGCAGATACCAGGGCTGGAGTTCTACGTTGCCAAATCACGGTTTGATGTTCTGGAAGACATAAGAAAGAAGAAAGTGGACAAATTCGCAAAAAAAAAAAAAAAAAAATACTTGCTCTGGCAGGCCCTATGCCAATGCGGTAAACTGAGTAAACCATACATCACAATGGCCCTAGTAGCACGCTTGTCACATGTCGGTTGTAGAAACTTCTTTACGACTTATTTCAGTCATAAACAAGTTGCTGCAACTTTTATTAACGGAAGTGTGCTACTCGGGGGGTACCATCAACAGCGAAATTTACCGCACCGAGTGCCTCCAGAAGCGTCTGTTGCCCTTCCTGCGGTCCCACGGAGGCGAGACATTATTTTGGCCAGATCTGACATCACGCCATTACGCGCGATCGACGTTGGATTGGTACAGAGACAATAACGTTGTTTTTGTACCAAAAACCGCCAACCCCCCAAATTCACCAGAGATTCGTCCGGTGGAAATATTTTGGGCCATAATGAAGGCCAAAGTTCGAAAATCGTCCAAGGTGTTTAAGAACGAGCTGGAGAATGGATGAAATAGACCAAAAAGGTCGGCTCCACCATTGCACAAAATGTAATGAGGGGTCTTAAGGGAAAGGTGCGGGCTTTCAGCGATGGAAAGGGAAATGAATAAAGTAATTATGCCGAAACATAATCCATATGTATTAGTTAATTCCCTGAAAGTTTCAAGAAAATCCGACTTAAAATAAATTTTTGGCGAACACTTTTGTCTGGTAATTTTTTTTCGAGTACAGGCCTTAAAGGAACCATCGAGTTATTGAATTATCGAGTTATAGAGTATCAATCTCAGACAAATTCGCTATCGCAATAGTCATGACATTAATAATTACTACGGTTCTATAACTCGATATCGAGCTAGTGGACATCGAGTTGTGAAGTGTTGACTGCAGTGCTGATAAAAATTATTCTTTCTACATTCAACTTGGCTGAAAATGAATACAAACCTTAACAGATCGACCAACTACCTGCATGAATTTGAATTTTGACGTAAAAAAATTCTTTTGATCAAGGCAACCTCTGAGTATCAAAGACAATTTTATTTTGTTCATTCGTGGCTGGATGGTCATTATCGCCTGTGTTGTTGTCAATTAACATTCGTCTTCATCTTGGTGGGAATGATTTTGAGGATCAAATGCAAAATTATTATTTTCATTTTACACAAATATAGCGCTGAAGAACTTACTTACTCACTTAACGATCCTGCGCACCTCCAGGGGAGAAAGATTTCCATCCTGGGTGATTAATAGCTTTGGTCTTGACCTGTGCCCAAGTCAAATTTCGGTCAACGTTCTTAATTTCACTGTTTAGGCTCCGCCGCCACGAGCCTCTGCGTCTGCCTCTGCTGCGATGTCCTGCTGGGTTCCAGTCCAGTGCTTGCTTGCAGATTTCGTTTCTGCTCCACCGTAGTGTGTGGCCGACCCACCTCCACTTCCGTTCACGAATTTCTGTCTCTATCGGCTTCTGATGGCAGAAACGATGAAGCTCGGAATTTGAGATCCAATTGTGAGGCCACCAGGCACGAATTATGTACCGCAGGTATCGGTTGATAAACACCTGCAGCTTCTGAGTGTTCTCCGCTGATGCACACCATGTTTCACTAGCGTATAACAGCACAGACTTCACGTTCGAGTTAAAAATTCGGATTTTGGTGCGTCGACTGATCTGATTAGCTCTCGATACATTTCGCAAACTGGCAAAAGCAGCCCTCGCCTTCTTAATCCGTTCACCTATGTCGCTCTTGGTGCCGCCGTCCGACGCTATCTGGCTGCCAAGATATTGGAAGCTTTCGACTTTCTCCACTGCCTGCCCAGCTACCGTGAAATCGGAACGGTTTTCCGTGTTGACATCCAACGAATTGGTCTTGTTGACGTTGATAGTTAGACCTGCTTCAGAGGAGCGTTCCACAAGGTCGTCGAGCTTACTCTGCATGTCAGAGGGCCGTTGTGTTAATAACGCAACGTCATCAGCCAATTCGAAGTCGTTGAGATGCTCCATAGTAATAGGCTGTCACAGCAACCCACGGTTCGGTACACGGTCAACGGCTCCAACCATGATCTCGTCGATTACGATGAGGAACAGTAGCGGTGATAGTATACATCCTTGCCTCACACCCGTGATTTCCCGAATCGGATC